TTGAGATTATGATATTTGTATGCATCAATAATGCACCTTTCACCCTTCTGGGTGGCCTAGTGGTTTGGGCTTGGGACTTCCATGTTGGAGGTCTCAAGTTCGAAACCCCTTGCCAGCGAAAGCAAGGGGTTTTGCCTTCTGGGTCGAGCTCGTCGCACCGGGCTTGCCTGGTGCGGGTTACCTCTCCTATGTGGTTTGCGAGCTATTGCATAGGAGCGGGGGTTTTACCTTGTGCGCACCCAAAGGGTAGCGGTTGCGGGTTTCCTTGTCATAAAAATAAAATAAAATAATGTAACTTTCAAAATAAAAGGTAATGAGATCTGTTATCTTATGTTATTCCAGGTTGATGAGCATCGTGTAATATCAGTTCCTTACCCTGCAATGGAGGTATTTAATGCTCTCTATATTTTCTATAAGTTGATACATTAATCGAGTACAAAATCCATTGTACGTCTGTGGTTGTGTCCCATTCTCCAATACCTAATCTGTGCTGCTCTTTTGAGGAACTGTCATTAATTGATTTTTAAAATGATTGGTTAGAATGTCAACTAGAGATATTCGGATCTTAAAATAGGAAAAATTTTGGGACACTATTTTGAATTAGTGAATGTTGAGTCATGTACAACCAGAATTTGCCTAACTACTATAGTGAATTATGAGCTTTTCATAAACACACCCAATTAGGCTTTCATTATGTTTTTATCGTCGAAAGATATACTAGTCTACTATGGATCAGAAAGAACTTTATCAACTCCTTAACAGACAAGAATCACAAACTAGACTTGACAATCGAGATGCATATGCACGATCATGTTTTTTCTTTGTTCTTTCGGTAATTATGTATAAGTTGCAGTTATAAAGAACATATAAACAAGTTCTCTCACTATTATTTCAAAATTAAAGGGTGTCTTCTTGAGATTAGCTATTAAATATATGAAAAGTTCTGAAAGATTAGGTACTAAAGTATTCAATTTTCAGAGTGGGGTGAAATTTTTCAAAAAAATTCATTCCATCTCAATATATATGACCTGACTTGATGTATGTCGACTGTTAGGAGTAAAGTATTTGATCAATTAGTACTTTGGGTTTTGATAAAAGAGTGTTGAAAATAATAGTTTAAACACTAGGTGATTTCTTCTAATCTTGTTAAGTCTTGATGGACAGAGTTACCCGATACCTGTGCTGGTGGGGAGGTAGTAGGTACCTCTTGAAATTAGTCGAGGTACATGCAAGCTGACCCCAAACACCACGGTTATAAAAAAGAAGTATGGAAAAGTGAAGTTGTTAGTTTAAACGATGTGGCATCAAGTTTGAATTATCTAGGATAGCATCAATTAGATTATTTCATTTTGTTGGAGGAGAGGATTTTCAAGATTGTGAAAGTTGTCAACTATTTTATGTTGCTCCAAAAAAAAAAATATGTCAAGTGTTTTGGTTATATGGAGAATTAATTAAAAGTGAAAAAATAGTTAGTAATCTAGAGGTTTTTTAAGTAATTGGGCAATTATACGTCTTATATGAAACGTTAAAGGTATAAATCACTACGTTATTGCATGAAGTTTAAATAATTGTTAAAAGGGCACAAGAAAGAATGCAAGGAAACAACGACGAAGATAAGAAACTATACAGTAATAAATTATCAATCGGAAGACTGGAAGTCATGCAATATCTAGTTTCTTCAGTTGAGTCTCTAATTTACTGCCTTGTCATCGTCTCTTGCTTCGGAACATGTAATAAGAGTACTAGGTAGAAAAATAAAGACAAATTGCTTGGAATTGGAATGCATGATCAGGGAATTAAGCTGGGTTAGTTATCTAAATGTTGAGCATGACCTCACTGGTCCGCTAGGCATGTGACATGTGGAAACGGCTTCGTATAGGAAACTACAGTCTGGTGGTTCTACAAATAGCTTGTAAGAGTTTGTGTCTCCTGTTAAAGTTATTCTACTTTCATATCCATTATGAAAGATATAGCTTATAGTTTATCTGCTGAACTAATTCCATTGGCAATTGCAAATACCATTGTGAAAGATATAGCTTATAGTTTATCTGCTGAACTAATTCCATTGGCAATTGCAAATAATGGGTATAACCTTTCAAAATTCTTTCACTTCCTCTTCAGCTTGATATCAATATAAACCCTCATCTTCCTTCTGAGTACATAAACCATTTGGAGAACCCCATGCAAATCATCAATAGTGCTGAAAAAGCAGCTGAAAAGGACATTTTCAACTTGATGCAATTTACGGAAAATCTGAGGCGTCAGTATGGCAAAGAACCTTACTCTATGGAAATCCTATTGAAAAAGCTTTATGTCAGAAGAATGGCAGCAGATTTAGGAATTAGCAGCATTTATGCTTCAGGAAAGATGGTTGGCATGAAAACAAACATGTCAAAAAAGGTTTTCAAGTTGATAACTGATTCAGCAACTTCAGATATTCATCAGAATTCTCTGATATTTGAAGATGGCCAAATAAAGGTGTGGAATTGTTGATTTTACTGTCTTCTCTATACCTATACTAATGCACTAAGGTTGCATAATCTTCATTTGAAAGAAAGGGAAAAAAATAATGTGCAAGGCATGTTTTCCATATTTAAGTGGCTGTGTAATGATGTGTCTTATTCAGGCTGAACTGCTCTTGGAGCTACCTAAAGAACAGTTGCTGAATTGGATCTTCCAATGCCTTGCAGAATTATATTCCTCATTGCCGACCTTGATAAAATATTAGTCCTTTCAATGAACTGTGATTCTTACATCATCTAGTAGGCAGCCGCCACATGACCATTGCCCATCGCTATAATAGGGTCCTGGGGGGTGGTTTAATTAAGAGTGTTAGAAGCTTGTCTCTCATCAGCGGCAGTCCCCACATGTACAGTATGAAAACTTGAGATAGATCTGTATCATATATTCAAGCAGATTGTGTTAACCAACTGGCACTTTCCATTCCTCGCGGGCAGTCAATCTATATCAGAAGTAAAAGCCACGATGAGTGCATTGCCTTCTGAGATGAGGTACTTAACTTTTGAATTCAATGAGGTTTATCTTTGGTCTGTTCTTTTTATCTTTTCATTTTCTATTTTTACATTGTCTCCTAATCGTCGGAGACCTGGTTTGCTTTTCACTGTGCAGGATTAACAGAGTTGTTTAAATATAGGATATAGGATATATTGATGGACTATAAAAAATTAGGATCCTGAATAGGGGAAGAACACGGATCATATATTGTCTTTCACGTTCCCTGGGGCTGGATCCATGCCTCCTTTCTCTTTATGTTAGATGTACTCTTCGTGACATTTTCTTTCTTCTGAATTATGGCGCTTCAAGGAATTTGTGTTACATATTTATTTATTCAAAAAATTTGGGACAAATGTGATCATAAATTTAAGAGCTAATTTCAAATATATACAATAAAGTAATTTGTTTACAACAAATATAGTCATATTTTATTTACTTAAGAACTAGCCAAAAATGTCTTACTAAAAGTCATAGAAAGTTACATATACATGTGGTATTCACGGATTATACATTATGATATACTTAAAAAGCTGAATATGCCCTAACTATATATGAAATAGTGTACACTAACTATCCAATCTTGATCATCTCAAAGTCGAGCAGTTTCAAAAAATTAAATATGACATGTCTCGATATTTCGAGTATTTTAATATATAATTTACTTGAATTGATTTACATTGAATTTACAAAAGAAAAAACGATGGAAGAGATGAAGAATGAATAGCAACAAAAGAAGAAGATGATGAAGAAACATAGGAAGAAGAATAAGGAATGAATTAGCAACAAAAGAAGATCAGAAGTCGACGGCCAATTTTAGGAAATTAGAATAGCCTAATGGCCATATTAAGTAATTAGTAAAAATTGGGTTTAAAAAGTGGTAAATAAAGTTTATGGGCTGATATTTTGCATAATTTATCCTAAATTTTATTGATGCTTCTTATTAGCTAAAAATCACAGATAGATAATAAAGAGATTTAATGAGCTGAATGATTCATTTGAGACCAAAAAAGAAATACATTAGTTATGGACAATACAAATAAAAATAAAAATTGTCAATGATTCCAGGGTCTGGTCTAGTCCACAGAATGTCAACCGAAATGAATCCTACCTTACTGCAAAATTATTGTAAGATCACTAAGAAGTTTCAACAAAAGAAAATATTTCCATACTCATTTCAAGCTTAGTACACTTGATACTTACTACTTTCATGTATTGAGAAACAAAACTCTACCAAATATTTAATAGATAATAAAATATCTACTTCGAGTATTTGCAACATTCTCGAATTTAAAGGACCGTCTGAATTCTTATAAGATTTCTCTCTTCTCTAAGCTTTGGTAGAATATAAGAGCCAATGTCCAAAAAAATGACAAAATGCTTAATTAAGACTATGCAAAAATCTATTGTCATCAAAATTAATTTACACAAAATGCTATGATTTTATGCAATCGCTCGGCTTGTTGCTTGAGGTGCACAAAAAGGTGTGGTTGTTTGCAGAAGATGACAAGGTACAATCAGCGAGCAGCTCAATAATCCTATTTTCTATTTCTCCCTAATGAGTAATTTTACCACCAAATAAAATGGTATCACATATTTAAGATCACAAGTTTCAAAAGTCTTTAATTTTTTTTTTTAACATTTTTCTGCTCAATCAAACTATGTTACATTAGATTAAAAAACACAAGTATTTCTTGCACTTCTTATCGTTCTTTGCCAAACCACTTGGTTAGCTGTCAGCTATACAGTATTGATAAAATGTTAGTTTCTTCATAAGTCACAAAGATGAAACTACAGCTTTCACTGCTTTATTTGTTGGTCCTGATAGATAAGGATTTACTTTAATTGAATGAAGTAATGTTATCTCTTCATTAAATATATTTACCTGTAAGTTAGTGAAGGAGCGAGTAGCCTCTCCCTAATAAAGGGTGATGCAGCCGGCCGATAAGTACATTTACCCTGAAGCAATCATTAATCTAAAAGTGAAGAAGATGAAATGAAGTGTCCAATTATAACCTTAAGTGATCCTCAGATTGATCACCGTATCTGGTCTTGTAGGCAGCAATCTACATTTGGAGAAAAAGTTGAGACCCTGATGAATAAAAGTAGCCTTAAGAAATGCAATAGTTCGGATCGAATGAACAAAAAATACAGATTGTTGTAGACCTCACTGACATTGTTGTTTCTGTTGGTTGTAGACCAAAACGTCTCAAGAAGAAAGACCAAAAATTCTAATTTATGTCTTATCAATAAGGTACTTACAATTTATGGGAAGAGAACAGTACAATCCATCCAAAAAAGGACGGAGGAGAAGCAACATGCAACAAAACCAACAGACAGAAAAATTAGAACAGGTCAACACCCCTAAATTCCAGTCTGAAGAAGCATTTCTCATGAAAACCTAATCGATTTTGCTGCCTGCAAGACCAGAGATTGAGGAACTCGAAAAAGATTGAACAGAATTCTGGAAACACCTTCAAATAGATTGAGAAATTCTAGTAGTAATATTAACAAATCAAAAGCCAATGGGAAAGAACAACGTGAACTGAAAGTATTTAAAACAAAAGGTGAGATAGATGAGTATATTTAGGCAAGTAGAAAAGGCACCAATGTTTATGTAGTAGTTGAAAGATAACCAATTCTCATTTAGAATAAGTTTAGAAGGCCTTTTTTTAGCCTTTTGCTCTACATCTCCTTAATCAAACCCTATTTACAAATGAATGAAGCTCTAGGACATTGGTTGGACTTCTGAGTTGCAAAAAAATTGATTACTACGATAAATTCCTGGGATTTACAACTACCTTGCATGGAAGGCAATCAACAAGAATGGAGGCCAAGAGATTTTTGACTCACCATGCAAGCTTAATAGAGAGATTAAAAACATTTTTTACAACTGTATAACCACCACTGTCCATTCCCATTTCAATAACCTATCTAATCCACTTCCTAATCTTCAGAAGAATTAGAAAGAATAGAATAACCAAACTAGACAACTCCAGAAGAACAACTCCTCTTTCAGGCTTTCAGCCACTGCTGGAAGTATGATTGCATCTTGCCACGATTAACAGCATTTCCAACATTCACAGTAGGAATTATCTTTTCTGGCCTCAGAAACTGCAAAACCAAATATTTTCATAATTGGGATAGAGCAATATTTTGTAAAATTTCAAAGGGAACTAGCTCCAGAAGACTGAAACATCCACTTGATATTTCTAACAGTTGGCAAAGATGACATTAACTAAATATTCAAGAAGCAAAAAGAATTGTACAAAAACATCTTAACCTGCACAAATTCCTGCAGCTCTATGAAATTAGAATGCTCACTATATGGAACACCTGCAGGAAATTAATGCAGTAGAAGGGTTGATTCAATGCCTCAGCCATCTAGGAACCACAAAAAGCAGTCGTAACATTAAGTAAATAATACAAATTATAAATAAAAATATGTAGAATTTAAACCTCCCAAGAAGCACCTATTTATCTCACCATAAATAGTGATGTTGCCCTTAGAAGTGGGTTTTATTAAGTTTAGATTCTCCCCGATGGTCTCTGAGTAAGTCCAACCTTTATAAATGTAATGGTAACTGGTAAGGAACTTTTGCATGAAATAAGGGACAAAATCCACTAAAAGAGATGGGTCACAAGCTATAAGTAACATATATGAGTCACCTGTTGGTCGGAATGACAACATGCTAGTGTACTGTCCGTCTTGTGATGCCAAATAACGCTGCAGAATCTTGGGAAACATCAACAGAAGAAGTTATAAAAAGGAAAACCCATCAATCATCTAAAGAAGGTGCTCATGCAGACCTCAAATCTCAAGGATGATATAGGCAATATGTGCAAAGGTGTATCTTTTCCATTTGTTGACAGATTCTCAGAAATTCCAACCCAACCAAAAGATCGAAGAATGCGCCTCCTGGAGGCATTTGCATATATTTTTACCTATGAAATATTTATTATAAACCTGGTCAGCTAATATTTTGTATAGAAGTTCACTTTCTTATGCAAATAGACAGCATAAAGTTCAGCTTTATTGAGCACATCGTAGGCAAACTTGTAACAAATTGTTGCCTTGTCCCAAAAAGACAAATGAAATTTCAATAGTTTGGTGCCACATGGCATGCTATTCATCCAGAAGGAATTTAGAAACCTAAGTTATAGTAGCAAAGCAGTTTCATCTTCTGCAAAATGGTCAATGTATATTTTTTCTAACAACTCATTAGCTCTTAAGCCTTTGATGCCTTCGTAGAGTTGCTAGATATTCATCAAGTCATAATATGGATTAAAAACATAAAGATATCAAGAAATTCTCAGAATCTAAGATACCCCCAGTGCCTTGGAAATTGCAGAATACACATGTTCTTTTCCAATGCTGTATGCACCAACAACCACGATAGTTTTTGGATGATTATTCAAATATCTTCTCGTGACACCTACAACAAATTCCAAAACATCTTCTTTTGAAGGAAACCTGAAATAGATACCTCCAAGAAATTAACATCTAGCACAACTGTTAACAACATGCATCCACGACATAGAACAAAGAGAATTGCACCTGTACTTTGGATTGCAATATGTTGTGTCAAGGTAAAGTATATTAATACGTTGGCTTGCAAGAACTGGATATGATTGCATCAGCTTTGAAGCCCTAAAGTCTCCAGTGTGCAAGTAACATTGTCCATTTGGGAGACGGAAGTGAATGAGAGCAGCACCAGGACAGTGATTAGCATCAAGCATAGTAATTTTGATTCCATTAAGGCTGTACTCAGTACCTAATTCCAGAGGACAGATAAAACTGCAAAAGAATCAACAGAACCTAACTGCCCTGTACAATTGTTTGAGGTGGGAAGGAGTAAAATAACCCAAAAGAAATTTTTCTTGCTAATACACTTGACGAGGGGAAAAAGAGTCCTTACGATGGACTAACATAAAGACAGATTCTAAGCAAGCGAGCAGTGAGGTTGGTACAGTAGATAGGTCCATGTGACCATCCTTTGGTCAAGCCAATATAATGATCAGCATGGAAGTGACTAAGGAAATAGGCAGAGCAGCCTTTGACTGAACCATAGCAGAATGCATCAACAGTGAAGGGCGTTCCTGCATGAATGAAGGACTAGTAAAAAGTTGAATAAAAGCTGATTGAAGTAGTTGATATATGAGAAAATAATGAAAACCAGGACATAGGTTAATATCAGTCAAACAAAAAACATACAGAGCTTAGAAACTGAAACAACAAGGCATGTGCTTGGAGTTTTAGGCTAAATTCATCCCTTAATTATGGCCTAAATATAAGATACATCCTTGTATTACCTCATTGCACAAAAAATATCCTTGTACAATTTAGAAAGTTGCAAGTTTCCTCCTTCCATCCATTTCTGTCAAAAATCTCACGGCACAAAAACAAATATGCCAAGCACGTGGCTTTACCCTTAAATAAGGCTTCAAAATCTTGCAGTTTCTTTTGATGGGAACATCAAAGAATACCAAATTCACCCCAACACCAAAGAATGTTAAGTTTTATTAGTCCAGGTTTATGGCACCACTCCCCAGAAAGTATAAAAAAGTTAATCAATACTTCATCTTTCTCTTAACTTTAAATGGGAAATTATATATAGAGAGAGAGAGGTGAATTCAGAATTTAGAGTCAATATAATATTCAAATTTTTATGATACCAATGCAAATGAGAATGGTGCCTCTCCAGGATACCAAACTTTAGAAGAAGGCAAAAATAATCCTACTTTGGTTTTGTTTTAATCTATGTAGCATCCAAATTCTTCTTAATGTATTGTTAAATGAATGCAACATTGGATCTATTCAAACCCAAAATCAGAAAAGAAGATAAGAAAATTGGCAAATCTTTCTTACATTTCATCAAACACGTAATGGACATCTTAACACTGACTTAGAAAATCTTGGTTATATCTAATTGTTCTTAGGAAACTATAATTTCTTTCAGAATAATGACAAAAATGGCGAAAACATTTAACAATTAAAGCACTATAAGAACAAGAAAGAAGAGAAATTTTCAAAATGACAGATTCTAAATGAAAATTTCGTCAAAAAAGCTTTAGGTTATTTTAGAACTAAAAAGCTAAGTTTTTGAAGCCTCCTACTTGCTGGATCCTGGAGGTGGAAAACAATCAGGACTAGAGTGGGAAAAGTCACACATCTGGCACGTTCTTTTTGGTTGGTGTCGTTAGTTAAGAATAATGAGTAGAAGTAGAAAATGAAAAATATAGAGTATGGTGGTGGAACCTGCAATCCTCTTATAGAAGGGGCAAAGGCGCTGTTGGTTTTTGCGGGAAGCAAGAGAAGTAGCTGTGGAAGGTCGCAGATCAAGGTTAGGATTCTCAAGCCCCCACAGCTGGAATAGATTCTTCTGTGTCAGTCTCCTCCTTTTCTTGTCAGCGCCTCCCTCACAGCCGTCAACACTATCGGGTTGGGGTAAAAAGTTGTCGACATAAGAATCGAAATCGACCGTCTCTTTCAGCTTCACCATTTTCGATCGAAAAATCTCTTCTACTCAAATGGAGTTTTTCTTCTCATTTCTTTCTGATTCCAACGTGGACCTTTCTAGTCCTTTCCTTTTAAAGAAGGGCTCGAAAATACATCACTTTGGGCGGGGCAAGTTAAAAATTCAAATTTCAAGACAGCTTTGTTGAGTTTCATGATTTGTTTCTAGAATTTCACTTGCATCATTTCAAACTCAACGAATATTTTCAAAAGCTCCACGGTAGTTCCAAACACGGTCGTCTTAACCACTAGGCCACTAAAGCTATCGCTTGGGGCCCCATATTTTTTTGGCCCCCATTTTATAAAAAAAAAGTACATATACATATTATTAAAAAATGATATTAATTTTTTTAAAAAATAAAACGTGTAAGAGGTTTTATTGTTTTTCTTGAAAAAAATTATTGTTGATATTCTTAAGTATATGTAAATTGTTTTAATTGTTCTTAGAATTTATTCAATTTTTAATATGTCAACTAGAAAACATGATTCCGAGTTTGCAAAATGAGAGAAAATTATTATTGAAGAATTAAATAAATCTTAAAATAGAGCCCTTGATAGATTTTTAACAAATAAAAAATAGTGACATTGTTCCCGATATCAAGAACTCCTAAATAATTTAAAATAGTTGCATCCCTAAATATATATATGATCCAAGTCAATGGAATAATGTAGATACGAAATTCAGAGATCTATTAGTAGAAAAAGGACCATTTAGAATGACTGATATAAAATTTCTACAAGATAAATACGTACGACATTTTTCTACAATACACTATATTCAAAAATTGGTAAACAAAGAAAAGCAAGAAAGAAAATGATTAATCTACTCTAAAGATTTTGGATTAATTTTTTGTTTTTGTTGTAAATTATTTAGCAAAACTTCTATTATTTGTAATAGTATCTAGCTGAAGATAGTAATGATTGGAGAAATCTTAGTATTAAGCTCAAAGTCTAATGAAGTAAAGAATGAACATATTATTAATAATATGAGCTCGTGTATTGATTTAGAAATGAGATTGCAGTAAAAAAACAATTGATAAAGTTGTGCAGGAACAAATTGATAGCGATAAAGTGCAATGAAAAATGTATTGTCAAGAATTATTGACGTGTTCAAAATTCTTTGAAAAAATAATTTAGCATTTAGGGAAACAAATGGAAAGATCTATCAAGAAAGTAACGGTAATTTTTAAAGCCTAATTGAAATGAATAATAAATTTGATCCAGTTATGCAAGAACATATTTGAAGAATAAGCATGACGAAATTTATAGTCATTACCTTGGACATAATATACAAAGTGAATTATTAAACTTATTTGGCAAGTGAAGTCAAGAATAAAATTATTAAAGAGATTGGAGAAACAAAGTACTTCTCAAAATATTAGGGCCTCTCTTTAAGATTTGGCTTTAGGCCTCCACTCTTGTTGAGTCGGCCCTGGTTCCAAATGCACAAAAAAATCATTGGTAACTTCATGAATAATTGGGTAATTTCACGAATGATATCTAATTTCGGGGATAAATGTTGCCAGAGTTTAAACTGCACATTTCAACTCTATGAATTTCACTAGCAAAAGCTTCAAACCCAAGCAAGTTGTACTACAATTTTTTACGACATAACATTAAAAATTTAGAGCTGGTTTGGATTGGCTTAAAAATTGATCAAATCTACAAGTCATTTTTAGCTTTTGAAACTATTTGACAAAGTTAAAAATAACTTTAAAAAGTCAGTCATTTTCAATTTTATTTTAAGTTATTTTTATATTTGTCAAATACTTAAAAATAGATGTGACCAATTTTTAAGTCAATCAAAACACTCTCTTAGAATGACAATGCGAATATTTGCACAAATTAGGAAAAGACATAAATTTCCCTTTAACTTGTACCGAAAAGTCAGTTACACGCTTAAACTATCATGATGACTTATTACACACTTATACTATTTAAAAATGAATTTATTTACCCCTTAAAATTGACCTGGCAAATTTTTTTTTAAAAAAAAACAAATTATGAGCGTCAGATAATTATTAAAATTTAAAAAAAAACACATAATCTCCCTTATACCCCACCCCTCACATGTCTTCTTCTTCTTCATACCCCACCCTTCTCAATCTTCTTCACACCCAAATAAGCTTCAAATGCATCAGTGACAAGAAGCAATCTAATAACGAGTTATTCAAAAACGCATTTTTTTTACCCATAAACCTCCCAACAAGAAATCAAAATAGTACCAGGTGTGGATTTTTATTTGTCTTTTTCACATCATCAATGAGGTAAAATTTTAGGGGTTTCTCGGTCGCCGGAGCTATGGCGAGTTTTTTTGAGTAAACAAGATGAATGATCGATTGAAAAGGGGAAGAAAATTATTTTTCTATTATCCCTATCTCTTAAGAAACCTACATGACGAATATAGAAAAGGAAAAAATAATATGCCCAAATATGAAAAATATTTGCAATTGGAAGCTCGATTTTCATGGTCAATCAATGGAAGAAACTGTAACAATTTTCTTGTGGTTCATTTTGGAATGGAAGAAATTCTTCCACTCCACAAATCAGCTTCGAATTTTGGAAAGTTTTCTTGACGGCCGTTGTAGAAAGCTTCTTCTTTGCAATATGAAGATATAATTATTAGAGAATTTTACTAATTAATTGGTGTAAAATATAGTTAACAAAAGAAAAAACAAAAAAGAATATAAAAAAATTATAATTTTTGACATGGCGTTGATGTATCGCTAATGTGGCAGCGAGTGTAATACATCACATATTATAAAAGTGGTGTTACACGTCCTAGAATGGTATTAAATTCACTTTTAAGTAGTAAAGTGTATAATATGTCGCCATGATAGTTTAAGCGTGTAACTGACTTTTCATGATAAATTCAAAAGGGATTTTATGTATTTTCCTGCACAAATTGGATGATTTAAGACCCCATTTGAATTTTGACTAGTGAGAAATTACATCATGAGATGTATTCGTTAATAAGAAAATAATTGTATATCAATTTTTTTTAACTTACCTAAACATGAGATTTGTTTAATGATTAAAACAATAAACCAATGACTCCTAATAACTTCAATATAGGAGAAAAAAATGTTTTATTATTCATTCACAAGTAGTATTATGTTAAAATAATGCTAAATAAAATGCATAAAAATGATTCACAAGTATTAAATGTTCTGATACTCAAAGTTACTAGCTTTAACAACGTAGGTATTAAAAAACAAACTTTTTTGGTAGCTTGCCAGTTAAATACATCAGAGTTAGGATAAATATAGTTATTTATTATTTATTCCTCGCAAGTTAATTCGTTATAATTTTATTATCTAGTCAATTCAATATATGTTACTGTAAACCACATGTACAAATTCAATTGTATCATTTTAAGTTAGTAGTTGCCTATCTGTGTGATTGGTGCTTCGGCTTCATAACTGCATGCTAAAATTTTGGACTTCATTTAATTAAGAATGTTTCTGTTCAAGACCTTTTGGGACATGTTATAAATAAATTCTAAATGCAAGACTTTTGAGCTTTAGGGGTAGAGAAAAGTTCACAATACAAGATTCCTTGTTTTCTTTTAGATTTGAGTCAATACGTAAGTTCAAATCAATCGTTACAAATAATGTTTTTTATTATAATCTTTGATGTTCTTGTATTCTATTATATGAAGTGATTTTCTTATAGAATCTTGACACACATGGTATATGGATGGTTAACTTTGGATTTTAACTTTTTGTTTTCATGTTTGAATACATTTATGAAGTTCTAATTATATTGAGAATCTATTCACTATTTCTTTAATCGAAAGAGAAAAATTTTAGGGCAAAATTTTTCATTAGCTTGTTTGGTTTAAATCTCGATTTGTTTTAAGTACTCGAAAAAGGTTGTTGAAATTACTGATTGAACCAATAAGAAAAATATTTGGAAGACGTTCATGAGACTAAACGCTAACCATGTTTTTGCATATATATGTCTGCTGCCTATGATTAGTTTATTTTATAAAGTTTAGATTCAAGCGAAAGAAGTATCTAGACTTTAGAGGAATACTCCAATGGACTATTGAATTCGTGAACAATAGGACTTTAGATGTGACTATAAAAAAGAACCATATCTCAATAATAGTCTTGCTCTTGTCTTGTCTACTACCCTATTATCATATTGTTAATATCTTTATTTGTCAATGATTTGTTTACCGTTTATTCCTGGCTAGTTAATTTGTTATAATTTTATTATTTGAACAATTCAATTGACGTGTCCTTAAATTACATGTACAGATTTAATTGTATCGTTTTAAGGGTAAAAAGATTAAGTAGGCATTTGACTGTAAAAATCAAATATTGTTCATTTTTATTTGAAATTTTTGAAGTTGTAGTTTGAGTTGTGTTTGGTCGTACTTTTACATAGAATTTAGAATTTGAATGTACTTTTAAAAAAAAAATGGTTTATACCTCAAATTTCTAAAACCAACAAATCATCCAACCTGACTTGAAACATACAACTAAATTTGAAAGAGAGATACTCAATAAGCCAGATTTCATATCTTAAAAACCTTACTTGAAAGATAAAAGACAATTTAACTAACTTTTAAAAATAATATTTCACAATAGATAGTGACATAATGTCATAGATATACGAGCAACTACATGCTATTACACTTTATAAATCTCCGCTGCACATATGTCCCATTCATTAATTGTACAAACATAATCCTATCAACATAAATAAATATTTCATCAACTTTTGCTATGAATGATACAACAAGATCGAGAATAAGTCAAATTAAAAATTTAATAAACTCACTTATTTACTATATATATATATATATATATATATATATATA